GTAGATCCACCCTAGGAGTTCGTGGATGACAGTGTCAAAGGTTAAGGCAGCTCCCGGGATTTTTGTCAGCCGGGTCGGGCCATACGTCCAGTTTAGGAAGGGCTTTTGGAGGACATTGAACTGACCCAAAACTAAGTACAATCCGGAATCCTCCTAAACCAGGACTTTAGTAATAACCCCATTCATTTGGTATTCCTGAATGGGGGTGGGTGGATTAGTATGCTGCTAGCGCCTTTCCTTGATGGTGTACTTCTTGATAGCCGCTTTAGAATTGTTTGCCCCCCTGTGCGTTATTGAGTCGTATCTTCCGAACCGAAGTGTTGCCGGCCGCACCCCGCCGTAATATTGCCCTCTGACTATGTGGAAATACGTTTAACCTACTGGAATTGTCGACCCTCGAATTATTTTTTTTTCCCACTGTGCATGATCCCAGTGATTCTTAGAACGCTTTACTTAATTTATGAACCCTTACGTCTTGGTAATCTATAGATGTAAACATAAATAAATAAATTTCTTTAGGATGGTTTCTTTTGCTTAATGTTTATCGTAACTTGAGTGATTAATGGCTTCTTATGTGCCCTTGAGTTTATGGGTTTTTTTTCTGTTTCATTTGCATGAGAATCTTGGAAATTGTTTGCCACTATTAATTTACCTGAAGAATTATTGTTAGTTAAAGGTTGTGAATTTCGTATTAACTAGTAATAATATTATGGGTGGACATGGTCATGCAATTTGGTAGCTACTTATCTAGTTTATGCAGACTTGGGACTTCGGGATATTTGCCATGCTGATGTGCTTAGATTGATCCTTATCGCATGCCGCACGCACGTGTGGTAGCCCAGGAAATTTTCATTGGAACTGATTGTCTCTCTCACACCTTTTAACCAGGTCAAACACTTGAGGGCTTAGTCCAGGGGGAGGTACCACACACAATTTGCACTCATATGCACTTGGGACAGTTATCACTTGTAGAATTGATATTGATTTATTTTTATTTTACGGCGTTAACCAGTTATCCCGTGTAAAATCGATATTGATTTGATATTTTTTTTTATATTACGGCGCACTTTTCGCGTTTGTTCCAATTTTTGCACTTGTTTGTTTATTTATTAATTTATTACCGATTACCGGTATTTCCGCATACTTAGATTCGCTTTTGATACTTTAATACGTTTGTATCGTATACGCTGCTTAGGAGATGTCTTTGAACGTCCTTACACTTCAACAGTCAAGACGCAACAATTTGGTAAACAGTGGAAATCCGAATAAAGAAATAAATTGCATACAGTTAAGGTTATGTTTATAAAACAATTATTTTTTGTTAGATTTCTTAAAAAATTACCAACAAATATACTTATCACTTATCAGATAAAATACACACACTAACGTAACTATACACTGTTATAAGAATCAGATTTGTTAACATGAGTTTGTAGTTTGTTTATTTTATTTTGTACAGATGGCGCCTGCGTTGCGAAAACCCAATGCTTCTTTAGCGTATTGTATAAACATAGGTAAAAATAAGCAAGAAACCCTTTTAAATTAGATACATTGGTTGTTTTGATATGGATTGACCCTTATAATATATATTATTAAAAAACCCGGCGCATTCACCATTTTTGACAACTCCCCAGTAAAATTTTTATTCTTGATAGCAACTTTATATTTTCATTCCCAAAGTTTAATAATTCAAGAATTTTAAATCAAAGAAAATTAACTTACTTTATCTTAATGACTATCGATTGAGGAAACTAAATAGATTTAATAAAGAATAAAAACAAAATCGAACGACTTTTAATTAGTTCTTAAAGGTTTTACTGAGTATAAAAGACGTAATTCACTTATTCGTAATTCTTTTAGCTTTTAAATAAGAAATATTTTGTTAAAAAAAGAAAAGATTTATTTTACTAATTTAATCCACTATAAGAAAGAAAAAAAGGAGGATAAGAATTTTTCCCTTAAGTTAAAAACTTATTTTAGCTATGCGATTACTAAAATTTTTTCTTATTTGTAAATATTATAATTTCTGTTATTCATTTTTTATTAAACAATATTTGCATAGGTCTATAAATTAAACTTTCGATAATAGGTTACAAATTAATTTATGGGATACAACCTATATAATGAAAAAAGTGTTAACTAAACCCTTTTAATGTGACATACCTGTAATAAATCGCCTCTCGCTTATTTACATAAAATTTGAAGTAAAGTATTTCAAAAAGGATTCATGAAAAGTTAACTACGCAAATTAAAAAAGATTTATTTGAAGTGATGCATAGTATTCGTAAATCAACTTAATTGTATAAATTTACTAAAACACCGACCTCCCAGGGAAATTCATTGTTGCCATGTTGTTCAAACTGTCCACTGCAATTTAAATTTAATTCAATAAATCATCAGTTCTGTGGGTAAAAGGCATAAGGGGATAAGTCAAAAAAAGCAATTTTTTGGTAGAGACTTAAACGTGTTCGCATTAATTCAGGAAATATATTTATGGTTAGCGAGTATACCCTTTTGCTAGCATATGACATGTGCTGGCAAAAGGATATACCCGCTAACCATAAATGTATTTCCTAAATTAATGCGAACACGTTTAAGGCACTACTAAAAAATTGATTGTTTTGACTTATCCCCTTATGCCTTTTACCCACAGAGTTGGTACCTATTTCGACAGTTTAACATTTTTGCACCACTACCACACAATTAGTTAGAGACATGTTAAAATAAAAGGTTTTTTTTTACTGCCAAATTTATATATTATACCATGTTCCATGACACTAAGTGATCTTTTAAATACACATTGGCAAGTTGTGGCTTTATAGCGTTTTAGTCACGGTATGAAGTTAGTTTTAAGTTAGTTGACAGTTGTTAAATGTCATACAATCCTTAAAAGTTAACTGATAAAATTTTGCTTACTGTGCCCTTAAAACATTATCTTCTCTTTTAGATAATAGTATTTGTCGTAGAAAAAGTATAGTAGGCAACTCGTTTATAAACTTTTCTAGGCACCCTCGCTCGTGCCTAAATTAAATTCGTAACTAAAATGGCGTTTATCAAACTTGATACATAATATACTATAACTAACACTAACAACTAATACTTTAAAACTTAAAAAAGGAAAAGTTTGTAAAGTTAAAAATACTGGTAAATCCAATTGAGTTTTTAATCAAAGATCATTGGTCATGTTCAACATTTCAAATGACTAATCGACTTCAGTGGCGGCCCGTCAGGGGAGGTAGGTGAGGCAGTGCCTCATCATAGAGAATTAAAAAATTAAGTATAATTTAAATATTTTACTTTTTATAATATACTATAAATGTTTAATATTTGGATTACATGAATTGTGAAATAGTCAATAAAATTGATTGATTTTATACGTGGAATACCCAGCAACATTTAAATTATTTGAATTTGAAACGACCGCAATTTAAACTAATATTTATAGCTAGATGATTGGCTCAGAAGCATGCCTGAACTAATTTAGACTCACGATTGGCGTTAGCCTTGTTGTCTCGTTCTATTACAATGCTATATCATAGTTGTCTCCTTCTCTCGTATTAGCATACGCGAGGTAGGCACGCCTACATCCAAGGAAATAAGCAGGTGTTGTGGCAACACTGTTGCGGAATTTTAGATAAATTATACTTCACACGTTTTTCAAAATTCAATAATAAATTGTATTATTTTTTTTATAATTAATCGATTTAATCGAAATTATATTTCCATTCTAAAATAAACATATTTTAACACTATCGCCATCTTGTAGCCATCACAGTAACCAATAAAATAAATACAGATTCCTTCTTTAGATTTGTTTTGGTTATAAAATTCTGAACTGTTTAAAGAACAAATCTGTGATTATTTACGCAATATTTTGTTTATTCTTTTTCTATGAGTTTGTCTATTTTATGATTCTTTTGTGGTTTATTCTGTGGGTTTAGTTAATTGAACTTGGTGATTTATGTGAATTTAGTCATTATGCATATTACGGTGAGAAATTGTAACGATATTTTTTACTTTGTTTTAAGTATAGGTTGTCAACTGCAACCTCAGTTTTTTTAAGTTGGGTTTTAAAAAATTTCTTCGCCTTTAAATGAGGGCGAAACCCTGCCTCTGAATGAAATGTCACTAATACCAAAAATTTCCTTTCGGTTTTTAAAAAATATGTATTTTGCGTTCATAATGACTTCATTATAACACCGCTTTCGGTTCTGTAATGAGATACTTTAACCCACCTAAAATTTTGATTTTATAGGTTGGCATAATATTTTGCTACTAACTAAAGTCGCCGCAATAAATTAAAACAATAAATAAAATTTATTAAAAATTCCCTAATATTCACATTTTACACAAAAGATTCGCTTCTTCCCTTTCGACAACAAAAATTCCCAAAAAAGGGAAAATTCCCTGCAGTTGGCAACGCTGCAAACCACCATGATACTCTTTTAACTATTTTGATCTATTTTACGTTCATAATGCCTTCATTATAACACCGGTTTCGGTGCTATACTTTAAACAGCATAATATTTTGCATATTGGTTCTTAATTTTTTATGATTTTTCTAGTACTTACGAGACTTTTATGGCAATAAATTTTGTTTACACCAAAGAAAATCCTTTTTTTCTTCTTTAACATTAACAGCCGCTTATTGTAAGTAAGTAAATTAAGGACGGCATGGCGAATCGATTTTGACATTGACTGTCAAACCAATGACTGTGATACCAACTATCTAAAGTAAAATTCGACCAAATTAAATTTAAGGAATAAAATTAATTTTTTATAGAATTATTATATTATATTTATTTTCAGTTAACTTTTGCATAATATTTTTGCCAGTTGGCCAAAAAGTATAACTCAAATGTTACAATGTTATGGAAAATTAAATTCTATTATAGAATAAATGTTGCAATTATATATGTAACAACAAGACAATTTATTAAGCCGCAACAAATCACATGCGTAAGAAGAAAACAAATCTTGTTTATTATTTATTTACATACCTATAAACGAAACTATAAACAGCACATAAATGCAACTCTTCATCATTAACTTGTTTGTGTATTAACAATTGTTAACAAGTCACTTCATACTAAGTACTTAATTTTCGGAAAACAGCACAATTTTTTACATTTTAACTTTCAAAGTGCGGGTCAAAAAATGTTTATAACTGTGTCTGCGACATTTTTGAGTCTGACATCGAGGTTATCTTAACCGGCGAACCGAAAGTTGCGAGTTGACGCGCGTACGGAATTTCGATGGGAACAGAGAGTCAGATTGAAGCTCCCAACTTGCGCGAAGTTTACACAGCTTCTGCTGTAGCAAAATTGAGAAGTCTCTCCGCGAACGTGCCGACTCTAGCGGCCGACAGGAGGATTAACTGTGGTATGCTTTGTGGATTTTTTGCCGCTCAACTCTTTCGGACGCGATTTAAATCGTGGAAGCTTTTCCTTTTTCCTTTTGGTACCTAGAAAGGCTTTAGTTTAAAATTCTATTGGCTTATTTTATCAAGCAATATTTTAGATACAATTATTTCACTTTTTTTTAACGTTTATATTGGTTTGATTAAGTCCTTTGATCTTTTTTTTACGTTTGTGTAGGAAGAGGACAAAAATATACATTTTTAAAAACTTTTTATTATTTGTATTTTTGGATCGTTTTCATCCTTATTTAATACAGTAAACAATTTAAATATAAAATAATTAATTTTAATCCACTTTTTTTAAATTTGACTCATGTCCCAGACATTTTTTCCGTTGCGTTACGCCCGTCGCGTTACCGATAGAATATTAAAAAAAAACATATATATGGAAACTTTTTTGGTACTCACGTGATCAACAAATGATGTTCGGACGTACAAATTACCCAGCTGAATTTATTTATTCAATCAGGAAGAATATATCGGTTGAAACAGGTGCGGGTAACGCGAATGTAATAATTGTTTGTCCGCTAAGTTACTCAAAAAAATAATAAAAATAAGGTAAGAAAAAATACTATTTTTCATGTTTATGTTCATTTTAGGGCACTAAAGCTCATTGAGATTAATTAATGACTGTAATGTCTTATTATTATTTTTTAAATATGGTTTTACAAAACTTTGTCCACCGCGTTACCGAGTCCACTATGTTACCTTATGGTAACGCAATGGAATTTAGGGTAACGCAATAGAATTTTTCGACAACAAAGTGGATATTTACCGTCGCTTTTATTAAAAGTAGTTTATGATTAACTAATTTAAAATTATTTGTAATTACAACTCATGATATAGATTACATCCAAGGAAAAAATCCACGCAATATAAAAGTACTAAAAGGGACCTTCACCGGCTTATAGTCAAAGAAAAAGGGTGTAGAAATCTAAGTTGTTATTCTGCAAGTGATCACCACTACAAGGGATTTTGTTTATGCATTACTCTAAAATCGTACCACCCTATATAGTTTCTTTTTTACGTTATCTGATTAAGTCCTTTGTGTACCCCTGTCCGTTGTGATACCAATGTCTATTTCGTTACTTTTTTTAGTTTTTGTTAAAAAAAATACTTAAAATGATTTTTATACACTATCACTTGGTAATACGTGTTTATAAATTAGAGTCACTAAAACACTGACTAAAAGAAAATATTAATGGTATTGTTTTTTAACAAAGAATCGGAATGGTTTCTTCAGTGGCGGCTGGTGGATTTTATGTATACCAATATCTCAGTTATATTTGAATTATCTCAAATAGGGGGGCCTGGAGGCAGGGTAGGCGACAGGAAAAACTAACTTTTTTTCGCAAACTTCAATTTAAATTCTGTTTGCGCCGAACTTGTCTATTTAATGTCATTATAAACTATTATAAATTTGGTGTGGGTCCCAATAACTAATAACTGAAATATTGGTAACACAGTAAAAATAAAAAATAAATATATTTTTGCAATAAAAAAGTGTTTTTATTATTTCCTCAATTAATGCTCTAGGACCATCTAATAAAAAAGTTTGTGAATTATTTCTGCAAAATGATAATCTAAAAACGCATTTAAAAAATAAAAACCGTTAAAATATAGTTAATTATACGTAATAACTCCCATTTACCACATTAAAAAAAGAAAAATTAATATTTATTTGTAATAAAAAAGTTATTAAAAGTTTTCCGCAAAACGCTGCTTTTTGACCATAGTGTCCAAAGTTATCTGCTCTCCATTCCTACCATTCAAACTCCATTATTATTGGAACTTTAAACCCTCAAATTGGTGGCATTTTTTCTTTTCATTAAAATGGTAAAAACAAAAAAAAATTTAATTCCGAAAATGTTTACAGATTGACTTTACTAAATGAGACATTTTTTTAAAAAAAAACAAATTTCAAAAATAAATTTTCGAATTTCCACATTGTTTTTGAGGATATTTAATATTCTCTGTAGATTATTATATTTTTTTAAGTTTAAGCATAATTTTCCAAGGTAATGGTATAAAATAATTTTCACATATGTATATGCTGTATATACAGTATTATTTTACAAGAAAGGCACTTTATTTTAACGATTTAACGACATCTGTCAACTAACTTAAAACTAACTTCATCCCGTGACTAAAAACTTGTTGCTAACTTCAGCCCGTGACTAAAACGCAGCGTAGAAAAAATTGTTGACGTAACTTTCTAATAGTCTTTAAACATCAAGCATAAAAAGGCGGTAAATTATTTTTATACAAAAACTAAAACCCAAAGCTTGAACATAAAAAAATTAAAATATAAATCTTGTTAAAAAGTTTATCCCTTAAAACAGAACATCTCGTTAAAAATAATGTGCAAAAACAAAGAAAAGCCTGCAGTTTTACGGCGCGCTGCTCTCATTTACAAAAGTGTCATATTTATCCTATGAATACAAATAAAATAAAAGTAGGACAAACTGGGAAAAAAGCGCACTAAAAAACTTGGTAACACGTAAACTTTAATAAGGGTTTTATCCGGTTGTTAAGCAAACGGAACCAAAACGGCCTACTTGTATTAAAGCACGTGTTTTACGGAAGCCTTTGTCCGCGTGCGAAGTCAGGACCGGACCTGAGGGGCCCCAAGAGAAATCATTTTATTGTCTTCGCGCTTGAAAGTAAGGGTTAATTATTTAGATAATATTTAAGTGGAATAAGAAAGGAAGCATTTTTTTACTAAATTGGGACATTATTTTAGTCGACAAGTATTTATACTATATAAATTTTATAGATATATTTAGGAGACCCACAAATTAATTAATAATTATTAGTGTTTCGAATATAAAAAATAAAGGTCAAAATCTATGAATAGAGTGGTCCTACACTAAAAGAAAAAAAGGTTAATTTAAGTTAAATTTAAGTTAAATCAACATTTTTTGCACAAATTTAAAAGTTGTTTTAACAAATTAAAATTTTTAAATTAAAATTTCAGAAATTTATTTTAACCTTTAAACCTTTTTTTTGGTCCAACTAGAGATGCGACTTGAAAAAAAACGGTCCTTTTTTTGTTTTTTATTGTTTTTTTTTAAATGGTTTTTTTCTTCATATTTTAGGTTTTTTTTCAAGATTAGTCCCAATTGCTCAATTTTTATGTTTCCAGTCCAGTTCATGGACTAAAATTAGTCAGTAAATTACATTTAGTAAATGTAAATACAGTCTCACGCTTTGCACGCGCCACCACCACCGAATTGACCAATAAGGACCGCGCTTGTTTTGATTTGGTCCTAAAAAAAGTAACTACAATAATATTTTTGATTCAGCGCTTGATTTTTCAAAAAGCTACCAAAAGCACTTTTTTCATGATTTTTCAAATTCATGTAGAGTATGGATTTTTTTTTTCAAAAAAACAATAGAAAATTCTTGTATAACATTTGTGGTTAAGTCAGAACATTCCGTGGACCAGAAAGCCAAAAAAAAATCGTTTTTTTGATTACTGTATTCGATAGGATTAAGCGTTGCGCATTTTTCATATAAAAAACTGAAAACTAGAAATTTCAAGCTTCAAATTGCTTTTTTTACTGCTCCAATACGACCATTTTTAACAAAGATACAGCTATCCGAAGAATCGCAAAAAAATTTTTTTTATCCTTTAATTTTTTGTATTAGTATAGAAGTTTTACATTGCTATTGGTTTCTAATGTGGAAACTACCAAATAATAAGAAATCAGATTTTTTAGTCTCAGTCAAAATTTTCAATAATGAAAAATGTAATAGGTATATTATTCCACTTTATTATTAATATACATTTTACAAAATTTTATTTTGAAAAAAAACAAAAAAACCGTTTTTTTTTTTAGTTTTTTTCATGTTTTTTTTCACATCTGAAAAAAACCGTTTTTTTACATCTCTAGGTCCAACCACTAAAAATTTAATCAAATTATTAAAAATATTAATTTAATGAACAATTAGTAGTGAAATAATAAACATTGGAGTAGTTTTAATCTTTAAAATTATGTAGATTAATAAATTTAAAGGTCAAAATGTTTTGTTACTTAAATCAAATAATTAAAATATTGATTTAAAAAAATTTACTTAAAATGGAATGTTTTATTTAAAATATTGCATAATTAAACTAAATTTAAAAGTATGTAAATGTAACTAAGTGGATAAGTTAAATAAAATTTCAAATTTATTTAAAAAAACTTTATTAGATTAATACAAATTCATTTGAACACAAAATAAAACATAATAGATTTAAACCATTTTTTTTACTTTTTTTAAATTATTGTATCCAAAATTTAATTAAACTTAAATTCTGATTTTAATATATAAAATCCATTTTTTAAAATTTTTTCAAAAAATTATTGAATTTTGTATTTCTTTAAAAACCTTATTCGATGACCTGCTTTTAAATTAAGTCTTAAAATTTCGGCGTTTATATTTAAAAGCTTTTCCTCATCGATATCTTGTCCTACAATAAAGTTTATTTGTCTAATAACGATTCCATTGCGATAAAAGTTAATTATGAAACACTTAGTTTATTATATACTATATTTAAATATGTACCTACATGTAGGTATGTAATAATCATGTCACAAGCATGGTAACGCGAGAAAATATTACTATAAACTTAGCTTCTTAGTCTTCAATTATTACAAAACAATAATATTCAAACTATTAGAGGCATTCTGTATTGTAAAAGAAAAAATATATTACAAAAATAACACTTACCAAGTTTTTGTATGTAAAATTGTACCCAAATTTGGGTACAATTTTACATACAAAAACTTGGTAAGTGTTATTTTTTTAATATATTTTTTCGTTTACAATACATCGTATCGTTAACGACACTAGAAGAGGTGCAGAGAGAAGGGCAGAACTCTTCGTATGAGTTAAATTAACAAACAAGATAAAAATGTTAACAATATAGGGAAACGTATGGGGCGTGGCCTCGCCTTTCTCCAACGCGCGACATAATGGCTAAGCGAATGAGATTTTTTGCATTATTATCATTTAATTTTCAAGGTCGTCTTACCTGCTCGACCTTTCGTCATGTCGTTTATCACACAAGCTACTGTGACGCGCGTTGGAGGGAGGCGAGGTCACGCCCGATACGTTTCCCTACATTCGGTTTTACTCTGAACGGGCTGTACATATCTTGCAATTTTAGAATAATTACTAAGAAATGTTGACTCAATATTCTAAGTTTCGTTTCGTTTAATTTTTATGTGTGCATCCATATAACTAATAGAAAAATGATTTAATCGAATTTCTTAACAATATTTATTCAATATAGGTTTTGTGTTGATATAGGTACTATTTTAAATAAAATAGACAATTAAAATAAAATTTTTAATTTGACATTTTTAAAATATTAATTGAAAGTAAAATAAAAGTTTATGTCAACAAAATGTTTATTGTTTTAATATAAAAAGGCATAGCATTTCTAAAACTTTTGATTTACCAAATTCATTTCTCTCATTGTAGATACGACTCTGCTTTGTGTATCTGTAATTGTGCCAGGCCTAATCCGCTTACAATGGGAAAGAGTTTGTAAGGTCGTCACGTAGCACCTCTTACGGTGCGTCGCGACGTTTAATGCCACTTGTACTATTCTTTAGCGTCGCATATGCTTAGTTATTGTCAAGTTTCTAGAGACAAAAATAAGGACTTTTAAAACGCATTGTATTGTTACTTAAACAAAGCTCTCAAATAGATTTTTTGCGTATGTTTATGTTTGTTCATGCCTGATCTTGTCAAATATGTCATATATGAAGGTATTTTTTTAATTCCAGTTTGTTGACAACAATTATGTTAATTTCTATTAATACTTTTTTAAATTATATTTTTGTAAATATGATAAAAAGATATATTTTATTAACAAAAAACTCAAAAGGGATCCGAATTTTGGGTTAAAAAAGGGAATTTTTAGAACCGTCCTGGGGAATTTTAAATAAAATAGGTTGGCAACACTGGTAATTTGCATTAAAAGTGCATTTTTTATATAAAATAAACTACCGTAAACACGGGTGACTTTGCACCCCGCGGGTGACTTTAACCCCTGAAAAATCTTTTCGCGCTCGATAAAATTAACATTTACTCGTATAATTTGTTGGTGTAAACCTGTCAATTGAGCGATTCTATTAAGTTTATATTACAGAAAAATCAGTGTTTTAAATAAATAAATGGGTTTTACTACACTTTAAAACTGTATATATTGATCAGTGCAAAACTCTTAAAAATACACGCGTTACAATTTCTATATTATGCGCAATCCATTGGAATTGGTTAACTACAGGTCGATTTTTTAATTTTTTTATCGGTAATCCCTTGCAATTGCTATATACTGTATAGCAATTGCAAGGGATTACATATATGTCGCTGCTAACATGTGTCTAATAAAAATAAAATAAAATATTGAGTTAATTTTATACGGAAAATACCTACACTGTGAGACAAAGTTACCCGCAACCAGGGGGTAACTTTGCACACCCAGTTTTTAATTTTTATTTTTGAAACTCAGCCCTATGTAATATTATAACATAGTTATTATGAAATAGCAACTCAAGACTCAAATTTTGGTATACAATATTTAATGTTTATGATTGTTAAAACCACAACAATTTTAAGCTTTAAGTTTGAAAGTGAGCTAAAGCCACCCGTGTTTACGGTACTGATGTTAAAAATAACAAAATTACAATAATAGTGCCAAATCTACTCCGTTATAATTATTTTCAATTCATTTAAATTCGAAAATATCTGCTTACAGTTTAAATATTAAATATTAATAAGTAGACCAGTGCAGAAGCCTTTAAAAATGGTAAAAAGAGAAAAAAAATAACAGTAGGATGAAACCCATTGGAAAAGGAGGAGAATATAATAAAAATTAAAGGAAAAAAAAATTACGGGCGATCTGAGTTCGGGAAGTGGGAGGGGGGGGTTTAAGGGTAAAAAATGGTTTATCTCGATTTCCGGTAAAACTACAAGTCCTATAGAAAAAAGTTAAATGTCAAAGTTGTAGGTAATAAAAAGATCTACAACTTTTGTATTTACAATTTTTTCACATAACCTGAAAATTTATGCGAAAAATTCAAAAAACCAAGTTTTTGGTTTTTTATTTTTATCTTTTTCAAAAAAAATTTTTTTCCACGAAATTTGGTGAAAACTTACCTTTTTATGTCCCAAATACACTGTAATTTATTTGATTTGAAATATTTATTATTTCGCCTTATTTTGACTTAATATCAAAAAAGCACCCTAATTTTCAATCGAAAATTCTCGCGTCAAAATATCAGCTTTTTTCAAAAAGTCGGTGTGCTTTTTGTTCGTTGAAATCTCTACTTTTTGATGGTTTAAAAAAATATACATTACTATGGTAAATGTTCTCAGAAAATACAAAAAATATTATAATGAATAACGTAATCAGAATGAAGTATCTAAATTCAATAGTATGATTTACATGTATTTTTATATTTTATGAGATTTTCTGACATAAATGTTATTAGAATTTAATAAATAAACTTTTTAAGTAAAAAAAATTGCTACAATCACATTTTTTTGATGAAATTGTACATAATGATTAAAATAAATTTTCGAATTCGAGTTTTTTTCGTTATTCATTATAATATTTTTTGCATTTTCTGAGAACATTTACCATAGTAATGTATATTTTTTTAAACCATCAAAAAGTAGAGATTTCAACGAACAAAAAGCACACCGACTTTTTGAAAAAAGCTGATATTTTGACGCGAGAATTTTCGATTGAAAATTAGGGTGCTTTTTTGATATTAAGTCAAAATAAGGCGAAATAATAAATATTTCAAATCAAATAAATTACAGTGTATTTGGGACATAAAAAGGTAAGTTTTCACCAAATTTCGTGGAAAAAAAATTTTTTTTGAAAAAGATAAAAATAAAAAACCAAAAACATGGTTTTTTGAATTTTTCACATAAATTTTGAGGTTATGTAAAAAATTGTAATTACAAAAGTTGTAGATCCTTTTATTACCTACAACTTTGCCATTTAACTTTTTTCCATAAAACTTGTAGTTTTGCCGGAAATCGAGATAAACCATTTTTTACCCTTAAACCCCCCCTCCCACTTCCCGAAGTCAGATCGCCCGTAATTTATTTTTCCTTTCATTTTTATTATATTCTTCTCCTTTTCCAATGGGTTTCATCCTACTGTTATTTTTTTTGGTTTCAAAAATTATCGACCCTGGTCTAAAGTTTGTGCGCGGAAATTAGGTATAGAGTATTAACTCTCTTTAGGAACATTTGAACTCTCTTTAGGAACATTTGATATGCAACCCAGTATACCTACATTAAAAATTTATTTAAACATTATACATTTACAGCTTGAAATTAAAAATTAATAGAAAGTAGAATGAAAATTAGTACCAAAATCGTAATATACATAAGTACCAGTAGTAATTAGCTATTTTGGTAATTTTCCAAATTCATTTCGAATTTTCCAAAATCATTTCGAAAATGCGAATTACATAGCTTTTAGTAATAGCAGAACATTTAGGCAAAAAAACACCCTTTTTTCATACCGTACAATAATATACGATCGACAGATTATAAAAGAAATGATACGATCGAAAACAATAATTTTAAAACGTGGATACGATATTCCCGAATTCAAAATCTGGCAACCCTGTGCGAATCAATGCCAAAATTTTAGGTTATGTGTATATGTCGCATGTGTTTTTATTTGAAATTTTATTATAGCCCTAATTAAACGCAAACAAATGGCTGTGGTAAGCTTATTAATAAATATATTAATCAAATAACATGGTATTTTTAGAAAGGAAAGGTGGCAAAAGCCAAAAGAAATAACCAGAAAAGGAACAAACTAGTTAAACAAGGCGTAATAAAGAAAAATGATGGAAAACCCAAAAAGAATATCAAAGCAGCACCCCCCAAAGTTGTTAAAAAGCCTGAACCACAGGATGATTCTGAAGAAAGTGACCACGGGGAGGATTTGTTGGAAATGGTCGATGAAGAAGACATCGATTTCCTAAAACAGGCCATCAGCAATAGGTCCTACAAACTTTTGAACAAAGTTAAATACACAGGGTATGTGAAGACTACCTTAATTTAACTTATTAAATCACATTGCTTTTACTAGGCCTGTAGCAAAAAAGATAAAGGTTGACGATGATGATTTGGAGAATAACTATGAAGAAATTAATTATGACGATTCGAAGAATATCAAAATGAGGAGTTTATTGCCCATCAAAACCAAAAATAGGATCATTCCTCGCGAAATTGTTGACACAAGAGGTTAATAATACTTTTCATTCAATCATCAAATATAACCAAACATTTTAGGTGATGCCACTGATGAAGAGGAAGAAGTAGATGCGGAAGAAGAAAACGATGAAGCTGAAGCTTCAGATGCTGAAGAATATACTTTAGAGGACCATGAATTTGATGCCGAAAAACCCATATCGGCCACACAACTTTTAGCAACGAGAAATGAAGTATTAAGGCAAAGAAAAATACACATCGGTACATTGAGTTCAGGATTACTGGAAAATCCGGAAGAAAAAATAACAAATCTGAGAACTCTGCTCAAAATAATGGACGAAGAAACCCCCGAAGTTTATTTGACTGTCAGAAAGTTGGTTATTGTTTCTTTGGTGGAAGTTTTTAAAGATATTTTGCCTTCATATGAAATAAAAAATATCAATGCAAGCTCTGATGGACCAAAATGTAAGTAATTTGTTTTATCCACTCCTACACCAGTGTATATAAGTTACTTAATTCACTTGTGCATTTAATTGGAAAAAAGTGAGGTTAAAACCGTTTGACACATGTCAGTTTGGAAAAAGTGAGGTTAACCCGTCCGGCAGATGTCATATTGGTAAAAAGTAAGGTTAAAACCGCTTGACAGTTGTCAGATAAAATGTCAAATAAAATTTACTTTAGATTCGTTTTATAAACTTCTTAGTATTACTCGTTTATTAAAAACTCGCCCCGCTCGTAAATAATGAAACTAGTGTTTTAAATGACGCTTTTCTACTACTGTTGGATAATATTGACAATTTTTTTTTGTATAATGATAACCATTATAACCGCTTAGTTGCTAGGCATCAGTGATCGGTTGATTTTATTATTCACTGTGATTTGAACCAATCAGATTTTAAATTGGTAGAAAGTGAGGTTGGAACTGTCTGACAACTGTCAGTTTTTTAATATACGAGGGGCGACTATAATGATCTTTAAAATAGGGAGAAAGTAAGGTTAGAAACTGCTGACAGATGCGTTTTGTAATTGGAATAGAAAAATGGCATTACACTTATGATAATTATTATTAGAGAAATCAGATGCATTTTTAAATGCTTGCAAACAGAAAACTAACTTATTTGTTGGTTACGCCGCTTTACTTATGGCGGGAAATTTAAATATTGAGCGTTTTTAAAAATCGGTCAAACACTTTTTGAGAATTTTAGTTTTTGCGGGAAATTTAAATTTCGAGTATTTATAATATTTATATAAGCATTAAAAAAATTAAATTGTTATTAAATGTTTTAGTAAAAAAGGATACTCTAAAACTGTTTAAATTTGAAGAAAATTTGTTGCAATACTATAAAAAGTTCCTTCAAAAACTCGAAAAGTATTGTTTGCTTTTAATGAAGAAAAAAGGCAATTCCAAACCAAGATCTGAGGTATGTTCAAATCACCTATTTAGAGAACACTAAATATGTGGTTCAAATTTATTTAAAAAAAATACTTAATGTAAATAAATTTAGGAAGAATTGAAGATGGGAGAGTTAGCAGTCCATGCAATGTGTGATCTTTTGGTGGCGCACCCTTATTTTAACTTTGCACCAAACATTGCACAAGTCTTGGTGCCATGTTTGAATAACCCTAGAAAAAGTGTCAGGGAGACTGTGAAAGCAGCAGTTAAAACTATCATTAAAGAGGATAAAAAAGAAGAAATAACGCTTAAAGTAAAACCACTCTAATTTTGAAAAAATATTTAAAATTAAAAAAAAAAAACATTTTAGATACTAAGAATTATAAATCAATACTTAAAAAACCATACACATAATACAAACACAGATACCTTGGAAGTTCTATTGGTTTTAAATTTGAGAGATGTTAATTTGGACAGGGAGAAAGAGGTTGAAATGAAGCAGAAAAAGTTGATGTCGCATAAATCCAATGTTTTGCAAATATCCAAAAAGGAAAGAAAGGTATATTTAACATTTTGTCTCCCCCCTCTTAAATCTAGGGTTACCAACATTTCACTTTTTACAGAGGAAGAAAAAACTCAAAATGTTGGAACAAGAACTTTTAGAAACAAAAGCGGAGGAAAACGTGCAGACCAAACAGAAAAACCTGACTGAAATCACCAAGATTGTTTTTAACATTTACTTTAGGATATTAAAAAATTCTTCCAATTCCAAAGTTTTAGGTGTATGTTTGGAAGGGCTGGCCAAGTAAGTATCCAATGTTAATAAAGCAACAAATAAATACGCATTACTTTTTATCATTTTGAATTTAACATAAAGTTTGTACAGAGGGGGTTTTAAAATTTCCGAAAAAGTTGAGTGGGGGAAAACCCGTTTTTTTTTCGGGAAAAATTGACTTTTGCTTTTTTTCATTTTTCTAAATATTTCCAAATAACTGGAAAAAATTAAATTTTCGACTCTGAATATGATCATGGTGATCTAAACAGAAAAAACATGTTTTGTTTTTTTTAAGAGAAAAGACTAAACTTAAAGCAGAAAAATTTTGAAACTTTTTAAAATAAAGGTTTTTTAATAAAAACACCAAATAAGAACTTCTAAAATAAACATACATGAGTGTGAAAATTAAAACAACAACGAAAATAGTTTTTATTTATAAGAAAAAAATAATCGCATCTAAATCTTACATGTCAATGTAGGTACCGTAAATACGGGTGACTTTGCACCCCGCGGGTGACTTTAACCCATTTATGAAAAATCTTTTCGCGCTCGATAAAATTAACATTTATAATTTGTTGGTCTAAACCTGTCAATTGAGCGATTCTATTGAGTTTATATTACAGGAAAATCAGTGTTTTAAAGAAAGAAATGGGATTTATTACACTTTAAAATGGTATATATCGTATCAGTGCAAAACTCTAGAAATACACGCGTTAAAATTTCTATATTATGCGCAATCCATTGAAATGATTATCCTTGGATAACTACAGGTCGATTTTTTATTTTTTTTATTGGTAATCCCTTGCAATAGATATATGTCGCTGCTAACACGTGTCTAATAAAAATAAAATATAATATTACATTCATTTTATACTGAAAAAACACTGTGAGACAAAGTAACCCGCAACCAGGGGGTAACTTTGCACACCCAGTTTTTAATGTTTATTTTTGAAACTCAGCCCTATGTAATATTATAACATAGTTATTATGAAAGAGCAACTCAAGACTCAAATTTTGGTATACAAAATTTAATGTTTATGATTGTTAAAACCACAAAAATTTTAAGCTGAAGTTTGAAAGTGAGCCAAAGCCACCCGTGTTTACGGTACCTAATAGTTCGAAAAAACTAATTATTGTGAAAGTTTTTTGTATAATTTGAAGAAAACAAACATTTTTTTTAAATTTGAAAATAAACTTTTTTTACATCACTATAAATAATACATGATTACAATAAATATTCCTATTATTATAATTCATTAGGAATCTTCTACCGGGTCGCAAAAAAACAAATTCGGTGCTGTATTAACATAACTATCGCTTTATTTGACGCATCGATTTATAAAATTATAATTTTGTAATTTAACTTTATAAATCATTCATTATTTTGTAAATGGATATTTTCAATGGGCTTTTCCTTTGCAAAACGGACCCAACCGACGGTATTATTTAACGCTTACGTTTATTTTCTTAAATCAATTTAATTCAATTTAGTGTTCAGTTTTTTATGTAATAAATTTAGTATCCTCATGGATTTATCTCCACGCGGTCTATAATTTAAACTTTATTGTTGTCAACATTCGATAAAGAAATACCTTGTTATGGCCTAGGCCGATAAAAATTTTTATGAGGCAAGTAATTAGTTCGATTTTTTCTCGCTAGAGGTATTGTTTTGACAAATTAATCCTTTCCTAAGAAATTAACGTACTAAACTGGTTTAATTTATTTATAGTAAGCACTAATTTGTTTGTTTTACTGTTAATGTTTAATATTTTTCATTAAATCATTGTAAAATTAAATATGAATAATAAAACAAAAAGTGAGGTTAGGCAACCAAGAAAACGCACGATTCTTTTTCTACGATTTAAATTATCTTTAAGTTTTCAGTGAAATTAAATGTTAAACACAGCTTAAACATTTCAAACTACCTATTTTTTAAATAAAAATCCAAACAAATTGAAATTAGATACCTACCTATATATTAAACAATTAATTGAATTCAATGTAATAGCAAAAATCCATTTCTACTTAAATCATGTTGCTAGGTATTGTCAAACTATTACTGCTTCTAAAAGCAATAATAATTATTGTGCATTTAATGTAATCTTTAGCTAATAAATAAATGAGATTCTAAAAAAGTGAGGTTAGGCCGCTTTGATGTTGAATTAAATTGACCTATAAAAAGTGCTTTGAAAATAAAATGTTGTATGCCATTCGGCCAAGAAGTGCCTTTTTGTGCTTCACTCAATTGTAGCTCAAACCTTGAGCTCTTAGCACAAAAAGCCTTACTTCTTAACCAAATGACATAAATAACTATTGTATATTTTCAGAAAAAAATCAATTTTTTTTTCCAAGGCTTTTTCACAATTTTTCCGGTTTTTTTTTTCGACTCTTTAAAACCCTACATAGGAGTGAGATTATTTTTGTCGCTGAAAATGGTTTTACAAAGTTTTTTGAAAAGTTTATTTTAATGACTTCTATACCGTTTGGATTGGAAATCACCCTATATATGGGTCATTCCACGTCAGTTTCTCAAAATTTTAATATGGCTGAAATATTTTGTTTTCGTTAATGAAAACAATATATTTAAATAATGTTCATTTATATTTCATATTTTAAAGTTTCCGGTTTTGATAATTTTAAACTTTTTCTTTTTTCCAATTTTTCTACGAACCGTTACATCTAGGAATGAACACTGCGCGTCAAAATTAACGCATAATAAGTAAAAAATTTTAACTCTAAAACGACTTTACCAATCTTTATGAAATTTTTTATAAAAATACTTTATCTCACGTTGGTTTTTCGAGAAAATATTTTTAAAGCCCTTTTATTTAATAATACAAGATTCTTTAGCTGAAAAGTGGTCATTTTTGACGACCTGAAAGCGCTGTATTTTTGTTGTTGTTCGTTTGATTTGTACAACATTTTCAGGGTATACTAACAAAAATACGGTCTTTTACAGCATATTTTTTATTTACTTCAAAAAAATGTCCCTATAAAAGTTTATTTTCGAGCGATTTTTATTATTAAATAAAAAGACTTTAAGGATATTTTCTAACACGTAAACTGAGATATAAGTTGAAATTTTATAAAGATGGGGGATGTTTTTTAGTTATGCGTTAATTTTGACTTTTATTCTCCTAGATTTGCACATTGCATAAATTTGGAATACTATGTGGACATAGTAAATGTCTTGGACAGCCTCCTGAAGGAAGACTGGCTGGGCTACAAAGAACAGCTTCACTGTGTGCAAACAGTATTTGCGATTCTTGGCGGCCAAGGTGAAGCAATAAACCTTGACCCGACCAGGTTTTACAACAGCCTTTACAAGGATATGTTCAAAACAACCGCCGCTAGAAACCACGACAACATCCTAATTCTGCTGAAAACTCTTGATGACGCTCTGATAAAAAGAAGGAAGAAAATAACAAACAAAAGAATGATAGGGTTCATAAAGAGGTTGGCCACTTTGAGCCTGCAATTGTTGCACAACGGCTCTCTAGGCTGCCTTTCGACGATTAAAAATATCATGCAGCTGAACAGGGCCGTAGATATTTTACTGGATTTGGATAATGCGGTCGGTGAAGGTAAATTCCAACCGGATTTGGACGACCCGGAGTATTCCAATGCTGCCACCACAGCGATGTACGAAATGACGTTGCTGAGGAAACATTATCACCCCATAGTGAATAAATATGCCAACAATATCGCCAGTGGCGTTCCTGCCACAGGGGAAGGATCCCTACCTTCCGAATACTGGAAAAGGTATTTGCGTATAACAAAAAATATTTTTTATTACATATATTTTTTTAGCACCCCGGAGCAATTGTTTACCGAGTTCAGCATGTCAGAGATGGGATTTAATCCTCAAGTTCCCATTCCCAACAAAGCCCAGCCCAAGAATACAGTTAAAAGAATTATTTTTGCAGACAATACATTCGAAACTGAATGTAGACAAGTTTTAAAAGCAAAAAGGAAAAATGCTTGTTTTTGGATAGACGATTCAAAGTTGTTAAAGTAATAAAATTTAAATTTTATTAAAAGTTACTTATTTTGTTTTTTTTGTTTTATTTATTGTTTTTGAATACTAAAAATTAAGTAATGCTTTAAAATAGGAGTCAATAAAACAATTTACTATTATTAACAATTTATTAACATAACAAATTTCAACTAATATCAATCTAATACACATTTTTAAATATAATAATTTAAAAACATGTGCTTAAACCTATACTAAATACTATGTGCATGCTTTGGCTAAATTAATTTAAAAATTGGATATACTATTCAAAATTTATTTAGAAATGTGAATGGAATATGCTTCTTAAATAAATATTTTTTACATTTTTCCTTATAAAAATGATTTTTCCCATTTAAATCTAATATATACCAGCCACTTAGGTATTCAACAAAAGTATCAGATTTTATCATATTTTGTCAAATTTTAAAACCTACAATAATTATTATTACCTATGTGGTTTAAGGTTTCAAATAAAAATTCTGACTATTCCAACTATACTGCTCTGCTAAGCCAAATCCCAGTATGTACAATATTAAATAATAAAGTACAATATACGAGGTGTGTTCAGAAAATATCGGGAATTTTCGTTTTTTGAAACAAATATTTATTTATTCGTCTACATTAATGTTGTCGCCTTCAAAATAGTCCCCATTGGATATTATGCACATGTGCCAGCTCTTCTTCCAATACTCGAAACACTTCTAAAACTCGATCATTGGGATAGCCTTTAGTTCTTTCAGCGATGCGCTTTTAATGTCATCTATACTTGCAAAACGACGGCCCTTTAAGGTTCTCTTTATTTTTTGGAAAAGGAAAAAGTATGGAGGCTGGGGCATCATTACGGTATTGTTTTTGGCCAAAAATTTTAATCAAAATTTAACAATTTTAGAACAAATTTTGCTGCCACGCGCTTCATACCCAAAACATTCGAAAAAATTTCATGGGATGTGCCAATCGATATACCAACATCATCAGCGACTTCTCTGATGGTTTATTTGTTTTTGGCCAAAAATTTTAATCAAAATTTAACAATTTTAGAACAAATTTTGCTGCCACGCGTTTCATACCCAAATTATTCGAAAAAATTTCATGGGATGTGCCAATCGATATACATCATCAGCGACTTCTCTTATAACCATTTCTTACACTTGTTCCATGTTTTTATCGCTTGGTAATGTGCTTGTGCATTCGGGGCGTTCGTCATCTTCAACGTCTTCACGGCCATCTTGGAAACTCTTATGCCACTTGTAAACTCTTTTTTTACTTATAGCAGACTCACTATAGGCCTTTGTTAACATTTCACAGAATTTATTTTATTTTTTAAGCAAAATTGGATAAAAATTCTTTTAACCATTTCTTTTAACGAACGAAAAATCGCCGAGCTCATAAAACACGTCTAACCTTAGCGGCTTCCACAGACAAAGTAAACAATGAAAACAGGTAAAGTTTTTATCATACTTCGGGGGAAAATTTTATGACAACCGGACTCTCCGAACCCGCGAAATTTAACAATTTCCGTTATTTTCTAAACACACCTCGTATATAATAAAATTTTATATAGTATACAATTCATACCACAAAATACCAATTACAGGCTTAGTTATTACTATCTGCAATAGAAAGTGTTTTAGGTCCTAGGTAATAACATACCATATTTTATCAAAATCCGTTCAGGCAGTAATTATAACTGATAAATTAAAATTTTTATTCATCCCAAAGGAACCGTGCATTTTTTCGGGAGAAAAAGTAGCCTACGCCACTTTCTGGTCTGTAAACTATCTTTAAAACTGTCATATTTTTGTGTTTCTTAAGTTGGCAGCACGAAATTTGAAATGACAATTTTAAAGTGCTAAAAAATTGTTTGTTGAGAGTAAATCGTGGAAAATTGTAGTTATGCATATGCCCAAATTTTTTTCTTAAATTTAGCAGTGTCTTTAAAATAAAATAACTTTTAATTTAGATTAAAATGGTCATTCTTTAATAGATAAAGAGTAAAGTTCATTTTTTTTATCTGGACTGCGGCAACGTTGCAAATTTAGGGGTTTGGTTGGTAGATACGTAACCAAAATTGGTTGCATTGATTAAAACAAACTAAACCAGTTATAAACGTAATTATAATGTAATTGTGGCTATGTTTAAATTATTGTAGGTTACATTGAACTGTTGTCAAAATTCGTAGTTAAAAATGCAATTAATTTGGCTTTGGTGGTGCCTAGATGAGTAAAATCATATAAAAAAATAGTTAAATATAGGTGACTACGGCACAGGAGAGACAAAGTATTCCTAGCGGATAATTATATTTGTTTTGAAAAGAATTTATATAAAAGAAATTAAAATTGTATGTGAACACACGTGAATGTTGTCCAATCATTGGACTCCAATGGTGAATGGGTATTTTGTTAAAGCCACTTAATAATAATATATATTGTCCAGGACTATTAATGATCAGTAACTTGCAAATTGAAAAAAGAAAAAGTTTCGTGATTATTGCTTATCTTTTTCAAACCAAATGGATGCTATTTTCAAAGACAGGAAAATTAACCACTAGATTATTCATAAAAAGGTTGAACCTAAACAGAAAATAATTTTAATTTTTTGTTTTTTTATTTCCCCCTTTTTTTAAATTTAAAATTTTTTTGATCTGCTTAGCTGAAAATAATGTGTGATTTAATATTTGTAAAGCCAAAAACTTTTCATTTTTACTCCAAAAATGTCCATAAGGCGATGTACTTTTTTTGCCCTTGAGGCATTTGGCATAACTTCATTGAAATTAAGTTCTTTTACTTTAGAATCGGATATTATTTTTGGCCTAGTTATCTTTTTATATCAATATTTTATAATAATTAACAAGTGAATTATCAATAATAAATATTACTGTCAATTTTACAGTGTATTTAATTAAGGTCTTCAGCAGAAGTACCATTTTTTAAATAGGTACTAAAAATACTAAAATAAACTGGCATAAGCTACCAACTTAATAAAAAACAGTCCAAATAAAAAAAAATTAACTGTATCTGTAAAACTGTCATATTTTTGTTTTTTCTTAAGTTTGCAGCACTAAATTTAAAATGACAATTTTAAAAAGTGCTAAAAATTGTTTTTTTTTTAATTGTAGTTTTGCCTAATTTTTTTTCTTAAATTTAGCAGTTTCTTTAAACCAAAATAACTTTTAATTTCGATTAAAATGATCATTCTACCTTTATACAAAATAAAAGGTCGTTTAAAAAATAATGAAACAAAATATAAGCGTAGTAATCTTGGCCACTGTTTTAAAACCATTCTCATTGGAAAGTTCATAAAATTAAAACAGAAGTAATCTAATGTTTGGTACCAAAACCTGTTGTTTTAAACAAAATGCTTTCATAAAATTACCAAAAATAAAAACGCCTTTTTAGTATGATATCTAAAATCTACCGGACCAATTGAACAGACAATTTTATAATATATTCAGTTCATAGGTACATAGTTCTGGGCTGAACAAGAATGTTATCTGTACAATATACAGCCGAATGTTTGCTAAAGAGAAAACATGTTACAAAACTGATTGTATTTTTAATGGGAAAAATAATTTCAACATGAAAATAATATTTATAACCAATTTTTATGACTAAAAACGCAAGTGTTAAATAAAAAAACTTACTTACAATATCAATAGACTTGGCATCTGAAACTCAAAAGAATGTTTATATAGCAAAAGAACAGGAATGGACAAGATAAAAGATAATGATCTATGAAAATAATTATTAATGATATTGTGAAGCTATCACCTTAATTAGGTATATGCCTATTAAAAAAGTTTATATTGGCACTAAAAGCTTTGAAACTGTCTAAATAATTTTGTCAGGAAAATGGGTAAGTCCAAAACCACACATAAAAGCATATTATGTATAAAGCAAAATATCTACTGATAGTGACAATTTAATAATTTCTATTTGTTTCAAAAATGGTTAGCTTTCATATAAGCTCATATGTTATAATAATCTTAACAAGGGTGTAAAATTTGGTGGTGGCAGTTGTACCTGTAACATAACATGCATATATACAGAATAATTCTATAGAAGCAAGCAGAATATTCCAAAAATTAAAGGATGATGTGGTGTTGTACCTGAAACAAGTAATCAAAATTTGAGATTACTCGTTCAAAGTCATAAGGGTGACAAAACAGCAATAAATTTAATAAACTAGCAACGACATGGTGATACATACAAATTAAAATTAAAAAACAGTTCTTACCTACGTGGATATTACTCTCAAAATACATGAATTTGGTACAAAAAAGTACAGTAAATTCATAAAAATACACAACCGAGTCAATAAATGGGGAGTGGAAACTACTTGTTTATCACTAAATACCCATTTAGTCAATTAATATACAGGGTGTTCCAGAACTCGCACCACAGAGAAAAAGGAGACGATAATACATTAAAATCTGTTGTCCAACTGTGTTTACTAACCTTTCAAAAAAGAATGTCATACTTTAGGACGGCAATGTTTTTAAGTAAAAATTAAACAACTAGTTCTGTACCCCTTTTTTCGAGTTCTGGAACACCCTATATAATTAACCATATAAAAGCTTATTTTAACGCAATTTTATGATAAAAATACCAAAAATTTAAAAATATTTTTCAGGTCAAAATTTTAATAATTAAACCGCTTTTTTAAATGGACAAAAATAAACCCTATATTTTGTTCTTGTATTGAATTGTACAAAAATAGGTTATCATAAAAATGTAATTTTAAGCAAAATTATTATTATTATAGTTTTGTTTCATGGATGATAAATAAAACATTTTTAACACACCAACCACACACCATGTGTTCTTATTTTTGTTAGGGCACTTTACATAATGAATATAAAAAGTATTTTTGAGAAAATTATATAGGTACCAAAAGTATTTTTGAGAAAATTATAAAGGTACCAATTTTTTATGCGCTTGGTTTACTGAAAGGTGCTATACATATACATCCCGAAAATTTCGCACTAACGGTACTTATACCAGGTTGTAAAGGGGGTATTAAATAAAATACAAAACATT